ATGGGCAATTTGGCACAGCCAATCCACCTAACCTGCACATCTTTGGACTGTGGGAAGAAGCCAAAGCGCCCAGAGTAAATCCACACAGACCCAGGGAGAACGTGCAAACTCCACACAGACAGTTGCCTGACACTGGAATCAAACCTGGGTCCCTGGTGCTGTGAGGTCACAGCGCTAACCACTGAGCCACCATGCTGTCCATATCTACCAAGTGTCCAAGTTTCCATCTGCCAAATTATCAACCAACATTGACTTGATGAGGATCTTTTCAGTTACATTGTATGTTCAGTTTCTGCGTATTTTTTTATTTCTTTGGTATACTTAATTTCAGCTACATTACTTGGCTGAAATTAATTTTAAAATCTGTTTTCAAATAATGGAATATCTGGAAAATACTAAGTTTCAATCTAAGGTACCTTGACTGGATATTTTTTATAATACCTTTTTGAGTAAGCAGGTCAGTGAAAAGTTACGAGTTGCAATTGAAATATTCATATGCACAAAATATTTTGGTGTAATTATTGTGGACTGCAGCTGATTGCGAATTGAGTTCTGTGGTGACATCCTGAATAAGAGAGCCAACAACAGTGAGTGTTCCTTCAAGACCCAGCAAGATGTGTAATGTGAACACAGGCATTTTGTCAGCTTTAGACTGTTTGAAATGTGTCTTTCAGTTCTTAAATGGTGCACATTCTGTGAGAGCAGAATTCTGTTTCACACATCATGACTTAAAATCGATGGTGAGAATGAACAGAGATGGCTGCAAATCTATCTGTCTGTGCAGGTTTTTGACAGCTGAGATTACGTAAGATTTTGGATGCTATAATTCTTGATCTTCATCACAGACCTTCCTGGTGGGATCAATCAGCTGTTGCAAGTAAATATTTTGGCTCCTGTCACCAAGACTGCATGCATTGTTGTTTCACACTGCCAAGTTATCATCCAATGTTGACTTGAAGATCTTTATATCGGCAGCCATGTGAACCATGTCCTGAACAAAGTTAACACAACTCAGCCTAGACACTGTTTTCTTGGGTGATTGTTGTGACAATCACCAAGTGTTCATTTTAAAATGAAGCAAATCTTAAAATCAAAACTTTGGACTCAACTGAAAATCCAGAGGGGAATTTGAGCAGAAATTTGACTCAATGAAGCAAGCTAAATTCTTCTCGACTCACAGTTGCATTTTCTCACTTTTCCTTCCACTAAGCTGGTGTGAGTATTTCATCACGCTTTCCCTTTTGTAGTGGGATTGAAAGATTGCTTTACATTTTGTGTATGCGGCCATTTCTGATATATTAAACAAAATTGAAGTTGGGTATGATATATCAGAATTCAAAGGTGTTAACAACTTTCAATATAACTCTATAAATAATGTCTATTAATTCATGGTTATAATACTAACTGCAGGTTTCCATGTACTAGCCAGCCCCCATTCAAACTAATTCAGGGGCTTGCTACTATATCAGGTTACAACCATTTCAATTTGCGGTTACACCCCACTTGAAAGTGCACTCATGCATAAGGTGCCATGTAAACAACCCCATTTAAACAAGACCAGCATTTGATTCAAAGGTGCAGTCAGGCCTGACGGCTAACAAAACTGCATAGGCACTACAGGATGGAACCTTTTTGCACCCCCAAACCAAAGTGTTATTTGATATTAAAATCCAACTGAATAGCTGCTATTACCAAGTTGTTTATTCTAGCTGGAGGGAGAAGATAGCTCCAAGTATCTGTCAAAGGTGATAATTGGATAGCCCGAGATAACAAAGTGTAGAGCTGGATGAACACAGCAGGCCAAGCAGCATCAGAGGAGCAGGAAGGCTGATGTTTCGGGCCTAGACCCTTCTTCAGAAAAATTGCTTAGCCCTCTTCCTTTTAATGTTACTTCCCTGCAGACTTTTCCTGTATATTATGTAACCAGGTACTTGTCCCAAGTATTTATTCAACATGTATATAAAACTTTACCCCACTAATACACTGCATAGCGTTTGTTAGTTTTATGTAAGCAATCTTCAACCTACTAATAAAACTAATATGCTATGTCCAGACCCGTGCGATCTTGAAGGAAGGAAGGAATGAATGAAACTGACAGCACTACTACAACAGGTGTGACCATGACACCGAATGAAGGAATGACAGGAAATAGAGCCCACAGATGGACGCAACCATGAAACTAACTAAACCAGCAATAGTAAATGAAAACCACAGATAATAAAAACTGTTGGGAACTCAGATTTTTAGTTAAAAAACACAAGGTGCCTTTTTCTAACTTTAAAATTCTAACCTTGAAAATAACAAGACTAACACCTTTTGAATTAGGTAAGGACAAACCAGACACTCTAATCTCATTAAAGTAACCATTAACACTCAACAATAACCAGTAACATGTTCAAACCATCTCCGATTTTCTGCAAAACAGTTTTTGTACAATATTTACTGCTTAACACTCAAGTGTTGGAATGTTAATGTATGCTTGAATTCTGTATAAAATGGCTGCTTTTGAGCTATGATTTTGGGATTCTATTTCACCTTACATCATACTGCTGTGAATGTACAATAAAGAGGCTATTTTTGGCACTCACTGATCTTGGTCGTCTGGTTCTTTGAACGTGATCTCGCAGACACCAATGCATGAAGACCAGTGGTCAACTGAAAAGAACCTGTTGAGTGATTTATGACTGAAGAAGTTTCAAGTTTGGGTAATGTGTTCATGTAGTTTTAATATTGAACCATATATTTTTGAGTTTTTAAGAAAACTCATGTTATTTATCAGGTTTATACCATAGTAATAGTACATATTTGTGGAAGGAATGTAGTAATAGAACTGCTGTGTCCAGTAGTAATTATGAACATGCAAGGAATCTGTTTTGCTTTCACTTTTTTAGCCTTGAATCTTTTGCTGTCGTTTTCCACTTGTGTCTAATTTTGAGCATACTAATGATTTGAGCTAGTCAAACTTTAATATGTATTTATGTTGTGACAAACCCGATTTAGAATTATTGAATAATGTGAATTACAATGATTAAAATTGATACAGCACAATAGGGGTGCATATGACCTTTTACTGTCTGTAAAGCTATCAGAGTCATAGAGCTGTACAGTATGGAAATAAACACTTTGGTCCAACTTGTCCCTGCTGACCAGATAGCCTAAATTAATCTCGTCCCATTCGCTAGCATTTGGCCCAGACCCCCCTCAGCCCTTTTTATTCATGCGCCCATTCAGCTGCCTTTTTAAAGGTTGTAATTGTACCCGCCTCCACCATTTTTTTTTTCTCTGGCAGCTCATTCCATACATGCACCAATCTCTGCTTTTAAAAAAAAAACAAAAGTTGCCCCTTAGATCCCTTTTAAATCTTTCCCCTCTCACCTATCCAATTAGTTATACCCCCTTCCTCCTTGTTCCCTGGAGCAGTATTTTCTGCCTTTGTAATATTTATCAAGTATCTATTCTTAGTGCGAAGCATACATTTAAAGTTGTGTGAACCCTCGCTTTTCGTCTATAGCCAGTTTGTCACACCAGACTTAAATTCACTCTCGCTTGGGTTTGCTCTAAAAACCTGAATGGTACTGACCTGCGTTACTACAGTATTTAATTGTGACTTCTTCAGGCTGTAATGTTGTCCTGTCAACCACACCCATAACAACTGGATTAGCTTGATCTTGAACCTCCACTGCTGATTTTGATTTAAGCATTAAAGACAATCAATCCCTTGATTTGCCTTTGTGTAATATCTATACTATTGAAACCTGTAGTTTGTAGAAGTTACAACAGGCTTCCCTTGGTACTTGAACTATATTCTGTTGATAGCCCAATGACCAGAAATGTTTAACACTTCATTGCTCCCTCCAGAAGTGCTGCCTAACCTGTTGGCTGTTTCCAGGATTATCTGAGGTTCCACTACTTTCTTGCCTTTGAGTTTTCTTGTTGATTTGATACGAAGCTGCTTCATTTGCGGCTAAATGTTGACAGGGATGTGTTTGTTTTTGTGCAGCTTACTTGGCAAAGATGCATCTTTGGTTCCTGTTATTCCAGTTATTGATGTCAACATGGGATCTACTTCCAGGAAATTTATGGATAACTCTCAGTACAGCAATTCAGTAAGCACAGCTGGTGAGTCCTTGATCTCTAATGCAAATGAATGATAGCTGCAGTTGAAATTTTGCATAATGGATGATGAGAAAGTGATCTTCTTCCTATAGCTTTGCACTCATGGGATGGTTCTCTTCAGAGGTTTGTAGAAACCTCCCATTTTGCAATTTGAGTAAATCGTATGTATTCTTTTCCCCATTCATGAAGTTGTTTCCTATTTCCTGTCAGCCCATGAGGAAGGCAACTTCAGCTGAGATGAGTGAATTGGTTCTCCTTTTCTCTAACCTCCCTTGATTGATTGTAACAACAAGTTCAGTTATTTTTAAGCTGGAAGCAAAATCTTTCTCTAACTTCTCATAATGTTAACTATCCTACTGTCTCAATAAGTAACCAACTACAAAATTTGCTTGAGTTAAAGGAAGAATAAGATTTCATAATAAAGTAGTAACATCAAGCATGTGTCAACATGAAGTTAGTATTCAGTACAAAAAGAAGATAAAAAAACAATGTCCTTGATGTGCAAGGTCTTAACACGAGATCATGATTGGTTAGTAGTTTCTTAGGCCATCAGCAGTAGTGAATATTACAATTATCTTTTTAAGTTCACTGTTTCCTCATGTTGCTGTCCAATCAACATTTTCAAAGGGTATTTTTCTTCAGGGACAATGAGTGAACCTTCTTCCCTTGATTTCAGTTCTGCATTCTTAGTTCCAATCTTTTCTCTACTGCCATGCAGAGCTTTATTTTTGAACTAGTAGCTTGTTTGTACATTGTATCTGCTTTTTTTGTGTTTGTGATTTGTAGGTAATGTTTCATTTCCAACGTATGGTTTAAATCAAACGGATGAGAGCCTTGGGAAGGATGTTTTCTGTGTAACTGGTTTTGTTGCCCATTTGTGATAAGTATAATATCAGTTTTTGAATTTGGCTTCTTTTTTAGGAAAAAAGATCATTAAACAGGTGAGTTTTGTTTCTTCATGTGAAGGTAGTTTTTTTTTCTTTAAAATAAGATCAAGGGTGGTGATAGTGTAATGGTATTAATGCTGTTCTAGTAATCCAAAGACCCGGGAAATTTCCTTGGGGACCTGGATTTGAATCTGTTCAAGGCACATTGTGGAGTCTGAATTGTAAATCTGGAATTAGAAGGAATCTTCGGCCTTGAGACCCATTTAGTTCACGAATATCCCTCAGTGAGGGGAAATATGTTGTTCTTACATAGTTTAGCCTAATACAGCTCCAGACATAGAACAATGTTTTGGCTAAACAACCTTCTGAAAGAACCTAGTGAACCACTCAGTTGTATTTAACCACTTCCAAAGCCCAAAGAAAGGAACTAAATCAGGTGGACCATTGTAGCATGGACCTAAGCACCGGAACCGATAACGGCAAACTCTGCTGTGATGCTCCTGCAAAATCCTTTTTACTAATGGCTGGAGGTTGAAGTAAGGTTAAAACAGAGGTGCCCAGGGAATCATCTACATTTTGATACTGGACACAGTAAGTTTTATGGCATGGGCAAGGAACCTTCAGCTGTTTACCACATACTGCCACCGGCCTCCCCCACCTACGCCCCCTGCCCTTCCACCTTGGATGAATCAGTACTTCTCGGTATTCAACAGCATTTGGAGGAAGCACTTAAGTGGCAGAATGTACTTGGGTTGGGGACTGCAGTGTTAGTTACCAAGAGTGGCTTGGCATCATCACTGGCACATCTAGCTGGTAAGCCGTAGTAGACATAGTGGCTAGACTTGGGTCTCTGTGGCAGGTGTTAAGACAACTACCAGGAGGGAAAAATCCTACTTAACCTTATCCTCACTAATCTGCCTGCTGCAAATGTATCTGTCTATGTATTATTAGGAGTGACTATAGCACAGTCCTTATGGAGATGAAGTCCAGTCTTCATTGAGGGCATATCATCAATCATTGTGCCAAATGGGCTAGGTTTTGAGCAGATCTCACAACTCCGTATTCAGCATCCTTGATGTTACAGGCCAACAGCAGCACAGTTTAGTAGTCTAAAACAATCTGCAATCTTGTAGCCTGGCATAAGCCCCACTCTACCATTTACAATCAAGCCACAGGACCAACCCTGGCTCAATGAAGAGTGCAAGAGGGTATGCCAAGTGTAATGCCAGCCATATCTAAAAATGAGGTGACTACCCGGTGAAGCAACAAGATGGGACTACTTGCATGCCAAGTAATCACAAGAATAAGCAATTCTTCAACCAAGGATCAGATCTAAGCCCTGCAGTCCTGCCACATCTATTCATGAATGATGGGGGCTAATTAAACAACTCACTCAGTCTCCAAATATTCCTGCTCTCAATGCTGAGGGGGCCGAGCACATTATTGCAAAAGGTGAGGTTGAAGCATTTGCAACAAACTTCAACCAGAAGTATCAAGTGGATTATGCATCCTCGGCAGATCCAGATCACCACAGACGCTAGTCTTCAGCCAATTTTAATTAATTCCATGCGATATCAAAAAGGCACTGGATACTGCAAAGACTATGGCCCTTGTCAACATTCTGTCACTAGTATTGAAGATGTGTGGTTCAGAATTTAATGCACTCCCTCACCTAGCTGTTTCAGTACAGCTACAACACAGGCATCTACCTGTTCAAATGGAAAATTGCCCAGGTATATCCTCTATAGAAAATGCAGAACAAATCCAACCCAGCCAGCAGCTATCCTGTCAGTCTCCTTGATCATTGGTGAAGGGATGGATAAAGTGACTAACAATGCTATCATGCAGCACTTGCTTCTCAATAACCTGTCAGACATTCAGTTTAGGTTTTGCCAGGGGCATCCAGCTCCTGGCCACATGAGCGCTTTAGTTCAAATATGGCCAAAATAGTGGAATTCCAGAGGTGGGGTGAGAATGACCTTGACATAAACACTGTTTTTGTTTTGTGTCATCAAGGAACATCAGTAAATGTAGAATTAGTGGGAATCAGAAGGGAAAAGCTCTGCAGTATTTGGATTCATACCACCCGTAGGAAGTTGGTTGTTAAGCGGTTAATTTCAGGACTACTATCGCAGGAGTTCCTTCAGAGATGTGTCCTTATGCCAGCAATCTTCAATTAGTTCATCAAGGACCTTGCCTTGATTATAAAGCCAGCAAAGGTGATCTATTTGATGATAGAATAATATTTACCACCATTTGTGATCCCTCTGAAGCAGTTCATGTCTGACCTCAAGACCTAGACAATATGCAAGCATGGACTAATGCTATGATAGAAGACAGACAGCTGAATTGAATCAGCCTTTCTGCCTCCGTACTCCCAACACTAAAATTAAAAGCTTCAAAGATTCTCAAAATTGATCCTGATGTTTCCTAAGCAGACTTTTTGAATAACCAATCCCAAACTTTGCCAGCAATCAATTCCAAATACCAGTTTGTATCTTGAACAAAAGACTCAGTGATTTGTTAACAACATGGTAACTTTAGCAGTGTAAAAATTAAGCAACAAGATAATCTGGTTTATGCTGTAAACCCAAAACCTTTGTTTTCAGCCCTATTCACATACAAGACAGACAGATAAACAAACACAGTAAAGGGATAAGTTAAACAAAATAACAAAATTGGCCAGATTACTTCAGTGATTTTCATGGCATATTGTTCCAAGGGCATAATTAAAGGTTTCTGGTTTATTGAGGTGTATTAAATCATGAGGGGCATGGAGAGGGTGAATGCATATAGTCTTTTCCCCAGGGCATCGGTTTAAGGTGAGGGAGGATAAATTTAAGAAGGACCTGAGGGACAACTACTACTTAGAGAATGGTGTGTGTATGGAATGGGCTGCCAGAGAAAGTGGGTGAGGCAGGTACAATAGCAGCATGTGAAAAACATTTTGGATAGGTAAATGGATGGGAAGGGTTTAGAGGGATATGGACCAAATGCAGGCAATTGGAACTAGCTGAGTGGGCACCATGGTCAGTATAGACCAGTTTGGGCCAAATGGCCTGTTTCCAAGCTATATTACTCTATGACTCTGAGCAGCAAATCTGGTGATAATTGAAAAAGCCTGCTCAGAGGACCAATGCAGTAGGATTATTGTGCTAAATGTGATGTTGATCTATTTCATGCCATTTTAATTGGAAGGCATGTGACTGTGAGGTTGCTGTCTTAGTCATTGTGCACTACACAATTTGTAAAATTACTGTGCCACTTTTTTGTTTGTTTTTTAAGTACATTATTGACACTTTTTTTAGTTTCACGTTCATGTCCATTTGCTAAGATTTGGCAGGTAAATATGATGTGAGCATGTACTCCGTTTTAAAAGCTGCTTTAGACAGGAACTTAGTAAATCGATGTACAGTGTAAGGAATAGCTACATTGGATGAATCTTTGTATCAACACATCAGGGAACTGTCTTATGATGTACCAGCAAGTCTAAGTTATCGGATGCCAACAATTCGGGTTACTGGTGCATTGTATTAATCAACCCAAGTACGTAAATATTCCATATTTCCATGAACAGTTCTAAGAATGCATCCCATTTGGAAGCTCTCAGAAGTGATATTAATTGATTTATTTATTGTCACAGGAACCAAAATACCATGAAAAGCTTTGTTTACAAGCAGTATAGGTAGATCATAGTAAGCCAAGGGTGTACCGATCAAAAAGACTTGGAGGCATGCAAGTTACTTTGCATAGGGCATGTGCTAGGTGAAATCAGTGTTATTTGAGGCTAGAGAGTCCATTCATCAGTCTGATAGCAGCCGGAAGAAGCTGTTCCTGAACCTACTCGTGTCTGTTCAGGTTTCTGTATCCTCAGACTGAAGAGGTTATAGATTGTTACCGGAGTGCGATGGGTTTTTGATGGCAGCCTTTCCGCGGCAGTGAGCTGTGTAAGTGGAGTGCATGGATGGAAGGTTGGCTTCCGCAATTGCCTGGGACATTGTGCACAGTTGAGTTATCCTGTATATCAATGGTCGGGTTAGGTATCTGTATTCACTTTATTCTGCACTTAAATATAACCGAAGAAAGTACATGGAAAAATTTTGAGATAAATTTTTT